TTTTATTATTTTCATTAATTAATTTAATTAATTTAATTAATTGTTAAATAAATTAATTTTTAAGTTAAATATATAGTTTGTAAAGTATGATTATTATAACCGTATGAATAACATGATGAAAATCTGACTTTGGAAAATAAACCTTTTCATATCTTATGAAAGACTACAGTAAATCAAGCCAAATATCGGTGGTAATTTGTGAACTTGTATTTAGACAAACAGCAGCCCGTACAGTTAGCACACAGATCCATGGTATGTTTCTACATTTGTTAACTTCTCTCCTGCAGAGAGAGGGAGACTGAGAAGTTCCGTGTGGCGGTGAGCGTACCTTCAGGAGCTCAGGTGTCCTTCCTGCTGTCGTACGAGGAGCTGCTGCCTCGCCGACTCGGCCGCTACGAGCTCAGTTTGGGTTTGAGGCCCGGGCAGCTGGTCCAGAACCTCACCCTGGATGTTAGTATTCATGAGAGGACAGGCCTTAGTTTTATCAATGTCCTTCCTCTGAAGACGAGCCGCCTGCTCTCAAACACAGCTCCAGGTAAAATCTGATATATTTGATATACTGTAGCACTACACGTTTCATTTCTGATGCTCAGACTGAATTCCAGACCACTCTTCTGCAGGTGGTGCGAGCCCCCCTGCCTCCACTCGTGTTGAGCAGAGCACCAGCTGTGCCAGAGTTTCTTACAGTCCCACTCTACAGCAGCAAAGCAGCGTATCTTCTAAAGGTCTAAATGCAGATTTTATCATCCAGTATGATGTGGACCTCAGGGACCTTATGGGTGATGTCCAGGTTGGCAGCATCTTTCTGACATGTCAGTTTTCATGATGTCACATCACACACACACGTCATTTTGGTCACATAAATATTTGACTTCTTGCCCTTGATAGGTGTATGATGGCTACTTTGTTCATTATTTTGCACCCAGAGGACTTCCTGTGGTTCCAAAGGATGTTATATTTGTCATTGACATCAGTGGCTCCATGATAGGCACTAAAATCAAGCAGGTAATGTAAACGAAGCTGAAACTTGTTAAACTGCTGCTGTAGGTCAGATTGGGTCAGTAACACCAGTGGTTTGTGTCAGTAGACCAAGCAGGCCATGAACACCATCCTGGGAGACCTGAGAGAAGGAGACCACTTCAACATCATCACCTTCTCAGATAAGGTTCACACCTGGAAGAGAGGCCGAACGGTGCGAGCCACTCGCCACAACGTACAAGAAGCCAAAGAGTTTGTGAGGAGGATGATTGCAGAAGGATGTGAGTCTTCATCACCTGACATCACACTCAGTATGTTTCGTTTAGTTTAATTTATTCATTTTCAAACAAAAACAAAATACGTTCAAAACATAAAACAAAATGAGAGGAAATGAGAAAGAAATATACACATATATATTAAAATGAAGTGAATTAAAATAAAATGAAATGAAGGGTAGCAGAAGAAGAAAAATCTTATATCCGTCCCCATTTC